TCCCGCCAACGGTACCAGCTCCACCGAGAAGAGAGGACTTGCCACCAGTTGCAACAGAGCTTGCACCAGCAGTCAACGTGATGGCTCCGCCGTTGCCCACAACTCCATTGCCAACCGTTGCACTGATGTCGCCACCTGCTCCAGACGAGGTTGATGAACCGGTGGTAAGCTGAATGGCACCAGATGAACCACCCACAGCAGTGGTTGTTGAAAGAGCCATAGCACCAGATACTCCGTTGGTAGATGCCCCGCTTGTGAGGGAAATTAGTCCACCGGCAGCTGCAGTTCCGCTGGAGAGTGATATCATACCACCCGTGCCAGTGGATCCAGTGCCGACAGACAACCGAATGGCTCCGCTAGGACCATTGCTTGAAGTTCCTGAGTTGAGCTGGATGGTTCCACTGGAAATCCCATTTGCACTCGTCAATGACACAGCGCCCGTGGCTCCCAAGGTCGAGCTCGTTCCACTGGTGACTACGACGTTTCCACCAGCTCCAGTTGCGCCACTGCCGCCAGTTACCAGAACGTTCCCCCCAATGGTTTGTCCAGCGCCTCCAGTCAGCTCAACGATGCCGCCGACCGTGGTCCCTGCACCTCCCGCAATCGAACTTTTGCCTCCGACTTGATCAGCACTTGCTCCAGCTGTCAAAGCAATTGCACCTCCAACGCCAGTTGCAGCATTGCCAACGGTTGCGGCAATGCTGCCTCCAATACCGCCAGTAGCAGCCCCCGAAAAGAGACTGATGGCGCCCGAGTTGCCACCTGTGGACGCACTGGAGCTGATAGAAACACCGCCAGACACTCCAGCAGATGAGCCGCCACTTCGCAAGGTCAAAGCACCGCCAACTGCGCCGTTCCCGCTAGAAACTAGCAAGGTACCCCCAGTCGCAGACGTCGACGCACCAACAGCGATTTGTATGGCGCCACCTGGCCCAGTTGACCCAGTGCCAGACGTGAGAGAAATGGCACCAGATGTAACTCCAGCGGTTGTGGACAACTTGATGTCACCGCTGGGAGTTGTGGCAATCCCAACTCCACTTTCGACAATCACACTGCCACCGGTGTTTGTCGACGCACCACCTCCACTGATTTCGACGGTTCCTCCAACTTTGCCAACACCACCGGCAAGAGTCACTTTTCCGCCGGTTGCTGCTGAGCTAAGGCCAGCAGTCAGTGTGATTGCGCCGCCTGTGGTAGTGTCTCCGTCGCCAACGGACAAACTGATCGCCCCACCTTGACCACCGGTCGCAACACCAGTATTCAAGGACACAATGCCGGAGTTGCCGCCAGCTGAAAGGCTCGACTTGATAGACACAGCGCCAGAAGTGCCAGCAGACGAGCTGCCACTGATGACAGTCACAGCACCACCGTTGACGGCATTACCACTGGACAGACTAATGTCGCCACCCGTTCCCAATGTCCCAGCGCCAACTGATGCATGAATGCTACCGCCGGCACCGTTGGATGCAGGGCCAGAATTGAGCAAAATCATTCCACTTGTGGCGTCGGTAGCAGAACTCAACACAATATTGCCGCTCACATCTGGACCGGTTCCAACACCACTCAAAAGGACAACATTGCCGCCAACACCAGCAGTACCAGGCCCCCCAGTTAGCTCGACGTTTCCACCAATTGTGCCAGCACCACCAGTCACAGAAGTCTTACCACCTGCAGCAGCGCTGCTAGCTCCAGCAGTAAGCAATATCGCTCCGCCAGCACCAGACACACCGCTTCCAACAGTTGCGGAAATACCTCCTCCTGTTCCGCTCGACGTCGACGACCCCGAGTTGATCGACACAGCCCCAGAGTTGCCGCCCGTAGCTGCGCTGGACCCAATCGTGACGGTCCCTGATGCCCCCGCCGTGGAGGCACCACTAGTCAGCGAAACCGGACCCCCGACGACGCCGGCCCCGCTGTTGACGGCCACAGCACCCCCCGTGCCTGTCGTGCCTGCACCCACGGACAAGTTGATCGCGCCACCGGGGCCACCCGTGGCAGCACCAGTCCGGAGTTGGATCAGGCCACTCGTGCTGCCGCCTGCAGTGCTCACCGACACGGCTCCGCTCACGGACGAGGCAGCTCCCGCGCCGGACAAGAGGTTGATGTTGCCGCCGAGGGAGGTGGTCCCGGCGCCCCCCGTCACATCGACGCTCCCGCCAACGGTACCAGCTCCACCGAGAAGAGAGGACTTGCCACCAGTTGCAACAGAGCTTGCACCAGCAGTCAACGTGATGGCTCCGCCGTTGCCCACAACTCCATTGCCAACCGTTGCACTGATTGTTCCACCAGTGCCACCTGTGGCAGGGCCAGTCGAAATAGAGATAGCTCCAGATGACCCTCCAGTTGAAGAACCAGAACCAATGGACATTGCTCCAGAAGCGCCAGTGCTGGATGTCCCCGAGGTGACGGACACGGCACCTCCATTTGCACCGTTGCCGCTGCTGATTTGGATGGCGCCACCGGTTGCGCTAGCCGTGCCAACAGACAACCCAATCAAACCACTTGGCCCATTGCTGGATGCACCTGTGGAAAGTTGAATAGCACCGCTTGTCGAGCTTGCTGCAGAGCTCAGCGTGGCGCTTCCGCTAGTGAAACCAGTTGCTGCCACACCACTTGTAAACACGAGGTTGCCACCATTACTAGAAGACCCGACCCCGCCATTCAATTCGAGGCTGCCGCCAACTGTGCCACTGCCACTTGTCGCAGCCAGTTTGCCTCCAGTCGAGGAAGAGCTCAAGCCAGACACCAGGGTTAGGTCGCCGCCTGTACTGACACCGTTCCCAACTGACAATCGAATCCCACCAGAAGTGCCACCCGTCGCTGCTCCCGACGAGATGGCAACCAAACCAGAGGTACCACCAGTAGCAGCTCCACTAGCAACGATTGTCGCTCCAGAGTTTCCGGCAGTGGAAACTCCACTGGTCAATGACACAGACCCGCCAGCAACGCCCGATCCGCTGCTCAACGTCAGAGATCCACCAGTTCCAGTTGTACCAGAGCCAACCATTACGTCAATGTTTCCACCAGGACCTGCTGTGCCAGACCCAGTTAACAGCTGAATTGCGCCACTCGTGGCACCGTTTGGCGTGCTCAGGGCAATCGATCCGCTCGTAGCTGCTGCAACCCCAGCTCCACTCAGCAAGGTAATACTGCCTCCATTGCTAGACGAACCAGCACCACCATTGAAAGCAAGACCACCACCAATGGTGCCAGCACCACCGGTAATTGAAACACGACCGCCTGCTGCAGCAGAGCTAGCGCCGGCGGTGAACGTCACACCTCCACCAGCCCCG